AGGAAAATTCGTGTAAAATCGGGTCCGCGGTGCGGACCAGGTAGGCCGCGGATGCGGACCCATTTGGGTCCGCGATCCGATCTCGACCCCGCGGACGCGCACTGGCAAATGAGGTTCCGAAAAGGTGAATTTCGTTCATGTCGACTCTCCTTACAAAAGTGAAGAGGGTTCGACCCACTCAATCTCCACCTCCATCTCCATCTCCACCTCCACTTCCTATGCATAGGCGGAACTTACGCGCGCAGTGAACGTACGACACGCGCACACATGCGGGACTACTCAGGACTGACGAGATTGGCGCGGGACTGGGGGCAAAACGTGGGACTGACGGGATTTGCGGGACTGGCTGGACTGACGGGATTTCGCGGGGCTTCGGGGATTGGCGGGACTGGCTGGACTCGCGTAAGTACATACGTGGGACTCGCAGGTCGGGATGCTTCTCGGCGGGATGGCAACGTTTTGTTGCAAATCTCCAGGTGACAGCAATCTTGTGGACATATCTTGCAAGGGGTTAGACCATGTCAGCAGGCAATCTCCACGTGGCAGCTGATGGGGAATTCGTGCAGTGTTTTTCCGTCTAAAACAATGATTCTGCCAGCTCATATCGTGTGCTGCCTTCCACGTACTCTCTCTCTCTCTCTCTCTCTCTCTCTCTCTCTCTCTCTCTCTCTCTCTCTCTGTGTCGCTCTCTCTCTCTCGCACGCACGCGCAGTTTCACTCTTTTGGTCTTCGCTCTTCGCTCTTAGCTCTCTCCATTCATGTTTCTCTCTCAGCGAGTCTTATTCTCTCAGTTTTCCTCCCGCCGTCGGACGACTGAGAGCGAAACCAAACACCTTTCTCTCCTCTCTTCGCTTTCGTCTTTCCTCGTCGTCGTCTCTTCGTTTCCACCTCTTGGTCACAGTTTGTAGCGTCTGAGCATCCTGCACGTAGTACGAAGCGCGCGTTACGTGCTTCAGGTGTTTGTGTGTGTGTGTGTGTGTGTGTGTGTGTGTGTGTGTGTGTGTGTGTGTGTACTCCATTCATCTCTCCCGCCCGACCCTCCTTTCTTCTCGATTGCCGACCTTCCTCCCTCTTTCCATTTCAATCGATTGTCCTCCCCTCTTCATATCATCTTCCAAGTTTAATCCGAGTGTAATCCAAGTTTAACCCGGGCTTAGTGCCATCGTCCCGCCCGAGTTTAACTCGGATTCAACCACCTTTAAACTTGGAATAACCTCGGATTAAACTTGGATTAACCTCGGATTCAACTTGAGTTAAACTTGGGTTTAACCTGGGTTAAACTCGGATTCTACTTGGGTTAAACTTGGATTCTACTTGGGTTAAACTTGGGTAAAACTTGGATTTAACTTGGATTTTACTTGGGTTAGTTTAACTCGGATTCAACCACATTTAAACTTGGATTAACCTCGGATTAAACTTGGATTAACCTCAGATTCAACTTAGGTTAAACTTGGATTAAACTTGGACTACAGTCGGTTTGTTCACGTTGATGAAAGATTGTCATGATCTGAGGGAAGGTGTACGAATGGATGATGGGTGATGTATCGGGTCTTGTTTCGAGTAGAGGGGAGGAGCTTGGAGGTCTTTTCGAGTAGAGGGGAGGAGCTTGGAGGTCTTTGCGACCTGCGCGCGCAGAGGAGTTAAACCTCTCCCATGCTGCACCTAATTACTATACAACATGTCATCGGATTGAGCTTGAGAACGCCGGTTCCATTTTTTTTGCAGGGTTGTTCCAACATCGTGGTTATATACCCTATGCCGCCGGTACATTCATGCAACGATCCATGTCATCGGATTGTCCACGTCATCAGATCCACTTTTTTTTTTTTTTTTTTTTTTTTTTTTTTTTTTTTTTTTTTTTTTTTTTTAAGGTCGATGCCCTCGAGATGTCATCTTCCAACTGGCCAGCTGGAAGAGGAAGATGACATCTCAAGGTAATTTACAGTTGGAAGATTGCTGTAAATTGTCTTGAGATGACATCTCAAGTAAATTCACAGTTATTTATTTAACTCTTCTAAGTTTATTGATATTCGAGCCGAGGTCTGTATTTCTACAGTTTATGGTCTACCAACTGAGCGACCGTATATATCACCCGAATAGAACGCCCCGATAATGATATGGTTGTACGTATCGGGACAGGAAGTTGTACCAAACACAGTTAATAGTATAATTACCGGACGTTCTATTCGGGTTAAGATGGTAGGCGCATTGGTATCCTCCTTGTGTTTTCGATACATGACAAGTAGGCAACAAGAAAGCGCGATGCTCCTCCTCCTCCTCCTCCTCCTCCTCCTCTCTCTGCTTCCTTACGTAGGTGGCTACGTCCTTTCCTCAGCTTCGTGGAATGAAAGAGAGTCAGCAACACAACGACCGATTTCTTTTTTCTTTTTTCGTTTTTTATTCATGGCTGCCGAAGTGAGTCTCGGTCCCTTTGCGGACTGCTTATCTGTCTGTGTGGACGTCTCCATTCTTCCGGGCTGAATGTTTTTTTTTTTTTTTTTTTGTCGTTTTGTTTGGTTAACTTGCTGGGTTGGTTTGTAATCAGCTTGAATTTAGAATCGAGATCTCTCATGCAGATTGATTTAACAAATCAGTATTACCAAAACCACGTTTAGTTCACAACAGACAGTCGTCCGATTTGAGATTCTGCGCACACCACCATCGGGACCAACAAAGATATCTTTTTTTTTTTTTTCTCTTTTTCTTGGGCGGGAGGCGCGAACAAAAGCTTCAATCTTCTCCCCCCCCCTCCCCCCCCAAAAAAAGGCTCCAATCTATATTCGTGGGGAGCAGCACGTGCTGAGAAGCCATTTTGCATGTTAGTCACATTGCGTCTGAATCACGGGCCTGCTAATGCTGCTGCCGTAACGATGGACCGAGGTGGACGTACGCAGCACACACGTGAGTGACGCACCATGTTCTGTGGGGCCCACCACCAATTTATGCGCTCGTCAGTCTAAATCGTTCGTTCGGTGCTTTGACGAAAGGCACAGTGAGTCTGTCCATATTTGTAGAGTACCTCCTGTCCATTTCGCGATTCACAACGTGTCCAATTCTCTAATCTACAGTGCTGAGAAGCTTCTACACCAATCTAGACCGTTTGCACGACTACTCGCTCGGTTCCAATCTACCTGTTCGTGCCAGAAAAGTTTCTACCAAATTCGAAATCTACGGTTCACCGTTTCCCATCTCTAACCTAGGCCCGCTCACCTGAATTGATAAAAGAGGATTAAAAAAAAAAAAAAAAAAAAAAGATAAAAAGAAGGAAAACCAATACGCTATATTGTTTATGTCTGGAACCCGGCAGTGACTGCCCATTTCGGTTCAAACATAAAATTCGTGAAAACCTAACAAAACAAATTGTTAGGTTTGCACGAATTTTTTTAAAGATTCTCATAGTACGTTTTTCAGGCCTCCTACATCAACAAAATTCTAGGTGAAGTTAAAGATCCGCAAAAAATGGAATAAAAAACTGCTTTTTCAAAACCACTCGAAGAGGTGAGGAGAAGAGCAGGTTTTTTTACAAAAAATCACTACCTTCCAAAACACTGTTTCTTCATGAACCAAAATATTATTTTTTTTTCTTTATCTAAAGATATCACATTTATAGTTTTATAAGGTATGCAACATGACGAACGTATTGGAGGGTTTTCCAAACACACCATATGTTGTCCTTTTCACGAATACGTTCGCTTGAATATGTTCTCTCACACATGGACGAATATGTTATTTTTTATTAAAATATTTTATCATTTCTTAATTTTAGATCGTAGTTGGTTAAGAATTTGAAGATGTTTCCGAGGCAAAAGTTGTTTGAATTCATCTTTTACATAACGTATATTTTTTGTCAAGGGTTTTACAGTAGGCTCAAAAAATGACTTATATGATTTATAGATCTATAAATTAGTTTTCAAAGATTTTGGTTTTTACCAAGTACTGAAAATGACTTATAGTTCTGTAAATGAGTATTCACTAAAACTGTTTTTTTTTGTACATATTTCGAGTTTCTAAAGATTGTCTCGTTTGAGCTTTGTTTTTTGTCAATCTACTAAGAACAATTTACAGTCCTATAACACGTTCTTTGCTAAAAATGATTTTCTTGCATATTTTAAGAATTGCTAGACTTTTTGCCCCTTTATTTGCATCCTTTCTCGGGACTCAGTTAAAAATATTATTTTTTATGTGTCAAAAGCAACAGTTTGATGTTGTACTTTTTCATTCTATAAAAAATGTTAGGTTTTGTCGTTTTGTTAGGTTTTCATGAATTCGGTGTTTTCACCAAATGTCCAAATAGCGGCAGGATGCATCGAACTTAAGTTTTACTTAACTGGTCAAAGGAGTATGCCTGCGGGAAATGTGAATTTGTCAGGGTGCGATGTACGGAAATGTGTACGGTCTTGCCGCTGAAACATTTCCGTACAAGTCAACACACGCCACGAATAGTCAAAGATAGAGAGAGTCAATCAATCAATCAGAAAGTCGGAATGTGGATTTGTATCATTTTTTTTAATTTTTATCTTTGCTTTGGTCGATGTAGATTTCGGTTTCTTCGTCATTTTGGAATCTGTTTTTTTTTTTTCGATGGAGAATGTTTTTTTTTTTTTTTTTTTTAACGGATAAGAAAAAGGAATTCAAATCCTCGAGCTCATTAGGCCGGGGTCGGCGAAGAGAGGAGAAAAGATCGCCCCCAGCAGCTCAAAAACCATCTCTTGTTTTTTTTTTCATTTTTTTTTTCGAGTTTTCTTCTTGTTTTTCTCTATTGTGTTGTTTATCAGTAGACTCACCATGCAGCAGGGAAGTTAACACACGTCACGAATTGTCAAAGATAGAGAGAGTCAATCAATCAGCACAGAAGTCAACACACGTGGCGAATAGTCAAAGATAGAGAGAGTCAATCAATCAATCAGAAAGACAGAGACTTCGAATCTTCTCTCTCTCTCACTCTCTCTCTCTCTCTCTCTTTCTCTCCTCCCTCCCCCCCCCCTTCCTCCCTAAATTTCTGGATAGGCTGCTTTCTCGTTCAATGTCGGTCACCCTCTCTCAATTCAATCAGAGGATTCGGATCTTCTCTCTCTCTCTCTCTCTCTCTCTCTCTCTCT